AAATCGACAGATGAAAGTGGTTTGCACGGTTTACACAAATGAGGGCGGTTTTCATATGATCACTCCTCTATACATACATATATATATACATATATATATATATATATATTTGATTAACCTGGATATCCAACCCGTTATACGAGCTGACTAATCTCAAGGCGACCACCTGCTTTGCAAATAACCTGGAGTCACCGCATTTGAACCTCCATGACCACGAGGGGATTTTTATTCCTTCTTGGATTTGAACCTGAGACTTCCTGGTACTTTTGACTTTTGGAGCCAAGCTCAAATCAATTAAGCAACACCCTTGTGGTTTAGATATACAATGACATAAAAGAAGCTAATAAATGAAAGTGGGGTGGTGAGTACTATGCATGTTGACAAGCTTAAGAACTTTTTCAAGACATATCTTTTATTTCAAGTACAACATACCTACTTTTCATTCGGTCCTAATAACTTTGTATTTGAATCTCACAAATCCTTCATTACAAACTCATCATTCAATCAATCTCTTATAACTTGAATCTCATTTGCTTTTAATTACAATATGCATACCATCCATAAACAATAGATTGCTTTATTCGGTTCAATCAACACATTTCTATTTCTCAAGGTAATTACACTAGAACTTTATTTTGTGTTAACCTTGGTTTTGAAGGTAGCCTGGTAATTCTAGCCCAATAGAGTATCCCAACTAACTCATTTGAATCCCGGATATTGTCTATTCCCCAGGAGAGTTTATAAACAAATACAGATCTTGTCTATTTCCTAGTACTATAAGGATACTCGCACAATGCAACGAGATACATTTCGATTTTAATGTATCAGTCGATGTTATAATACGGTTTGATGTGGTTTTAAGAAAACGATAATGTTTTTATTGTTGAGTAAAATATAAATATGAAGATATATCATAAAAATCGAAAAAGATATTGATATTAGTACCAAATTAACTATTTAAAATTTCTCACTTTTTGTGTATTTTTTTAATTCATTTTTTTATTTTTGTTTTAATAATATAATTTTTTATAAAGATAATAATTAAGTTTTAATAATATAATTTTTTATAAAGATATTAATATAGTTTTGTTAAAACTCAATAATTATATTAATTATATTCTAAATCTTTTACATTTAAAATGTGATATTTATCCTTTATTTGACTATGTTTATATGTAGTTAGTTACACGAATTCAAACATGAAGTTTTAATAAGTAGTACTTATGCACAACTTAAGTTGCACTTACGCACAACTTACTTATAATCTTGAATTTTAAGTAATATGCATCAATAAATGGTACTTCATGCATAAAAAATGGTTTTTAAGAGTTTTTATCAAATGCTTTATAACATATATATATATATATATATCTGCTACAATACAACTGGATATAAAAATGAAGATAAGAAAAACAGGGTCCATATACTTATAATTATAACAAGTCATGGCCACATTCGAAGCAGACATCCACCAAAATTTACTACTATACGAAACTTTAGCCTTTCTATACCATAGTATGAAAATACATATAATCCAGTAAGTCATCATAATTACTTTAGGTTAAAAGACTTGTCATTTGCTATAGTTTGCATTTAGCTATCACTTGAAAAAAACATACTACCAAAATTAGGGAAATAAGATAAAGAATTATTGTCATCTATCAACTTTTTGTTTAGGGAAAAAAAAGGGACATCAATTATATCATGTTAGGATGCTCTGTAATTTAATTTGTCAATTCTGATATGACGTTGAAGTACCCATTTATTTGTAATGTCTAGAAATTACAAATAAACCTGTGAGCCCTTCTAGATCATTCCCACACCTAACAACTTAAGCAAAACTACAGCCTCAACATTTCTAGAGTTTATATTTTGGCCACCAACTTTAGTTATTAGACATATTTTTACAAAATCACGTTTATAAAAATCCACCATAATTTAGTATGCAAGGAGTTGGGATTTTTTTTTATTTCAACTTTCCAATCAACATCTCTTTTGGACCAGAGATCTCATTTTAATGGTTTTATAAAACCGACATGCCTTTGAGCTTGTCATATTATATCAGTACAAGTATCACTATTTTTTTTCAAGTTTATACTTTATTTGTGATGAGGCTCGAACTCTTGAGTTGTAAATCTGTTACCAGTGCATCTGCAAATGTTATAACCCGATTTCAGACAATCTGGGTTGAGGTAAAATTATACGTGATTAATATTTGAATATCTAATGGTATGCATGATAAAATAATATACATGGATGATATATGTGCAAAGACATKATGAACGTAAGAGGATACATGCATATGTTATGTATGTGTAATATATGTGATAAATTGCATACCTTAATAGATAAGGTGCATGTGCAATATAATAATATTAAGATGGTATCTTAGTGATGAAGTAAGGTAATGGTATCTTAGAGATGAAGTAAGATGGTATCTTAGTGATGAAGTAAGATGGTATCTTAGTGAT